GGGCAGGGCACGGCACCAGCCCGGCGGGAGGGACAAGAACCCGCAGCGGCTGTCGTTCCCTGCTAAAGGAACGGGACTTGTTCCCCTGAGGAATTTGGCAGAAATGGGAACACCGGGCATTTTCACCAGCTCTACGCGAGTTTTAAGAACCCCGTATCTCCCATGTCCATGACCAAGTTATACTGGCGCGGAGGAGACCGATGTTTTGTGCAGGCTGCACCACCCCCCGGGCTGGCTGCAGAGCCTTCTGCAAAGAGGGCAGCATTTTCTGCTTTCCGTTCCTCCCCGAGTATGGACAGTGCGTCTATAAATTACAGGCAGTGATTTTAATTAGCAGAATTATTGAAAAAGGAAAGGCTCCTCTACTGCTAATATTTTGCCGGCCATATTGCAGAAAGATTTACTGTAATGGCAAACTTTCATTTATCAGAGACAAGCTGTCTGTCACAAAATGCATTAAAATAGAGACAATGAAGACAAAGCAAGTCTGAAGAAGTGGAAATTTAAATGTTTAGGCAGTGAAACCGGATTTATTAATGGACTGAGGGGGCAGTTTGTTCTTGCTGAAATTGCAGTCATTTTTCATATATAAATATTGGTGCTGTGCATGAAGTAGGGATGAGTAAAGAACAGAGACATGGTGCAAGGCATGGTGCCATGCAGGTACCCAGTGGTTCTGAGTGCTGCTTTGCTTTCTGCCAGGCCTGCCAGCCAAGCACCAGCTGGGACATGTCAGCCTCAGTCAGCGTGCGCTTTGGAGAGCTGGCTGCCTGCACTCCTTTGCATGGTCATGGGCCACACAGATCCCGTGTCTTGGGATGCATGCCCGGGGCAGGGGCCAAGTGCAGGCGGAGCTCAAGGTGTGTTCTTAGCGCATTCAGCTGGTCAAACGAGAATTCAGGCCCCCCCTCATCTTATCACATGCCAGGCAAGACCTCAGAGCAGAGGGGATGAAGCTATCCTGGAATCACGGTAGCGTAGCTCACGTCCTCACCTGGTCTGACTCCTGCATTATACGGGCCAGAAAACTGTTGTCAGTCAATTCCTCATTCTGTAGCTTTGCGATGTGTATTGCTGCAGCATCTCCGTGCCTCCCAGCCTTGCCTTAAGCAATGTGATGAGCAACTGTCACATGCCTGTTTCCTTCCACCATCCCCAGGGAAAGGAGCTTGTGCAGCTCTGTGTAATGTTTTGTAAGCCCTGTAGGGTTTTTTGGCCTTCTTATATGTGTGCATGTCACTCAGCTTTTATGTGGAGAAACGGAAAGAAAAATTCATTGTGCTGGTGACTGCAGGTAAAGGAGTGCTGGATGGCCATAGGTGTCACCTGAGCAAGCTGTTCCCCTGGCCAATACCCTTTCTTCTGAAAGCTTTTCACTGTATTTCTCAATAGGAATTAGTTTTTTGCTTCCAACCAACAGATTATTGTGACCCTGCTTCAGAGGAAGCAGGAAACTTTCTGTAGTGAATACTCAAGACCCGCATTTGACTTCCCCCTGGGAGGGAAAGCAGCTGAGAGTGCCTTTTGCTCAGAGCCACTTGGGGCACTGTCACTGCTGAGCCTTGTGTCCCATTTGGTGCAATGCACCTTTTGGCAGGCAACACTTGCAAAATATGTTAGGCAACCTACAGTCACGGTGTAAATTTTCAGAATAGGATGCAGAGAGAGACATGCTGTGACTATCACCGCGTATGGTGAGGTGACAGATGGCTCCCACACATTTGCTCCTGAAAATGCTTCCCCAGTGGCTAGATCCTCCCTTGCTGATCCATGCTTTCAGAGACTTTAATTGCTATTATGAATTAACTTTATTGTGTTATATTTGTGTTATTTCCTGTATAAAGAAACTAGAAGACATTCTCGGGACCTGTACTAGGGAAATGTACTGGGAGAAACCAACCTTTACCAAAGGACCCACAGTCTGAAACCTGGAGCCTGTGACATCTTGTTCTTGTGCCTGCACAGAGCCTCAAAGTCTGGTCCTCTACAGCCAGTCACAGGCTCTGGACCTAATTTTAGATGTGATGAAGCAGGTGAATGTAACGAGCGAGGAATCTCCTGTACTCTGTCGTATGGCCGTGACCCCTGCAAGATGCACACGTGTACCTAATGAGAGGCACATGAGTGTGACCCCTGAGGACACAGACAGAGCTCATGCCCATCACGTTATGCAGTGCCACTTTCTCTGTATTTTCATGGTGCGTGCATTGTTAACTTCGTACATATCTTTTCTGTGCCATTTGTCTCAGTCTGCAATGTCTTATTTCCACTGGTAAGCCTCTAAACTGGGACAGAAATAGGGGACACACTTTAATTTCTCATCAGATCTAGTCTTAAGTATCTTTTTGGACTTGTCAGATATGTGAAAGAGCTAGAAACTTGCCAGGCAAAACTGCAGAGTGTTGCTAACTGTTAACACTCAGCAGTTAAATCATTCAGTCCTGAATGGTGTATTATTTGATGGTTTCCCCTAGAAGATGAAGAGGTGGAGAAGCAGTAGAGTTTGAACATATGCAGCAAAAAGATACAAATCAACAGTAATTAGGAAGGTTAAAAGAAAGAAAAAAAAAAATCCCAGCCAAATCCCCTTTCCTGTGTCCAGCCTGTTTACATTCTGTGCTAGAATAACGCTGATCTGACTCACTGCGGGCATTAATGAAGTTTGCACCTCTGGGTGAGCAATTTAATTTATCTCAGCAAGCCAAAGCTCGTTATAACGGTCCATAAATGTTATCAGATGAAAGCAGCATCCTTCAGCAATCTCGGGGGTTAAAGCAAGGAGGCATTCAACTGACAAGGCTTCTGCTGGAAAGACTGCAGTCAGAGCATGTGTGTTACAGGCTGAGGAGGCACAATACCTCAGTTACTGCTGCAGATTTCTCTGTATTGAGAAAGTGATCTGGAGCCTCTGTAACACTCCTCTGGAAGTAAGCAGCTCCCTTTTTTTTCCCTTTTTCTCTGAGGACACCTCTCTTTAGGATTCATCAGGCCCAGCACCAGCTGGAGAGACTTGTGAGGGTCTGGGGGACTCCACAGGTTGGCTGCAGACTGATTGCTCTCCTGCAGGGAACAAGAGGCTCCTTGGAGGAGCAGGGACTTGCAGCACCGAAGGCACACAAAGAGGGTCAGGGTGGGAGGAGGAAAATGGCTGATTCTCTGATTCTGTCCCCTTTGGTGTGGAAATCTCCTTGCCACACATGTCCCCTCCCACGCCGGATCCAGCTACTTGAAATGCAGCTTCCACCACTGCGCTGGCCTTCCCCTCACCTTGCTCTGGGTGGAGGCAGTGCAGCACGCACACGGTTGTTTCCATTGCGCCCTTTCTGCTGGGGCTGCCAGCCACCGCCAGTGCTGGCTGCGGCTCCAGCTCTGGCTCTGGCACACAGCATCGGCTGTTGGGGTGACGGAGCGAGCCCAGCTGGACGCTCCCTGGCAGAGGTGCTCAGCTGAGGTGGTTTCTCCAGCAGTAGGAGTGATCGCCACCGCCAGAGCTGGCTGCGGCTCCAGCTCTGGCTCTGGCACACAGCATCGGCTGTTGGGGTGACGGAGCGAGCCCAGCTGGACGCTCCCTGGCAGAGGTGCTCAGCTGAGGTGGTTTCTCCAGCAGTAGGAGTGATCTCCACCACCTTCGTGTTTGGAATCACTCAGCAAAATGAAATATTTTCAGTTTTGCAATTCTTTTTCCTGTGGAGAGTGGTGGAGGTGGAGAGGGCAGGGAATGAACAGAAATAAACCCTTGAAACTTCAGTTTCTTTTCCATTTCATTTCAAACATGAATTGCATCTCCTGAACACAAATTGGGGAAAAATGGTTTTCTTTATAAAGTCGTCCTTTAAGCAGGTCCAACACAGTGAGGCAGCATCCTACAGGCTGTGTGTGCCCGGACTGGGTCAGGTCCCTCCCCTAACCCGGCGGGGCCGCAGGCCGGCGAGAAGGTCCCTGCTGTGGTCTGAGGGATGGGGCTTTCCACGGGGGCTGCTTTAGCCAGGCTGGGCGCAGGTGAGGGTCGCGGGCTCTGCTGCCCCACTGCTGCGCCCTGCTGTGTTTCAGTATGATGCTCGCTTTTCCTTGCAAAGCAGCTTACGTGCCTGGGGTGACGCAGGGGAACGACGAGCAGCCAGCACTGTCGGTGTGCAGCAGTGCGGGGACTTGCCGGGAACCAGGGCCCTTGAGCAGCTGCAGAGTTTTCAGTGGTGCAGAGAAAACCATCTCCCATTGCAACGCACACACCATGCTACTCGGTCCTGCGTGTCATATGGTTACCTAGTCCCTTGAAAGCCACAATGAGCACACGGAGGGGAAGTTTGTGCATTTTCAGTGAGGTAAGAAATGCTGACCAAATAATCGGCTTCTAATGGGTGCACAGCATGTGGATGTGCTAAGCCTATAATTGTCAGTGAATTATTGATGCTGTGGTGGAAAGTTGAATTTAAGGAGAAGGATTCTCGTTTCACAGGGTTTCTCCAAGGACCACAGTAGAGAAAGTACCTGCCTCCGGAGGAGGACATGGTGGGATGCTGTTCTGTGCACACCTGGAAACCGGCCTCGCACTGGCCATGCCCTTTGCTTGTGCTGCTTCCTCAGCCTCCGCTGTTTGGGTTTGTGCAGGGGAAGACACTGGAGCAGCCTCAGCCCAGCTAAGGCAGTGTTCTTTGTGGGAATGATACTCTGTGCTGGGAGGATTTCTTCAGTTTGCTGTCACCATGAGGAGTGAACTGACATTCACTGAGCATCAGTTACCACTTGACAATCGCCTCCATTGTCTCTGTGATCAAAACAGCAGCGCAGGGAACTGTGGCTGTGAGTGGCAGGTACATCTGAGGGGTTGTGTCAGATCTCTTCCACCCGCTGCTCTACCTGTCAGATCTAAATGTAATTTACTGTGATATAGGCATGGTGTCATCCAGGAGGCACAGCATTCCTGGTACATGTGATGCAGCTGGGACATCTCATCTGTGTCTACCTCTGTGTGCATCCCAACACTCTGCAGACACAGGTGAGGAAAAGGCAGAATAGAGGCAGGAGGAATCTCTCTCTTGAGTTCCCGACAAACCCAAAATATAGATGGATCGAGGTCAACACTTGCTGTAGATCCAGGATGCCAAAATATACAGCCCTGAAAACGTCACTTTGGGCCCTGGCACCCCGTGGGGTCTGACCGCAGCCCCACAGCCCCTTCCAGAGCCAACCCCCTGCAGCTGGGGGTGGCCTGGGAGCCGGTGGTCTTGGAGATTGTGGGCAGCACTGGCAGAGCAGAAGCAGGGAGATGGCAGCACCTGGTCAGGGCCTGAGCGGGAGTGGGAAACCTCAGCTCCAAGCACTTCACCTGTGGCCAGGTGTGGAGACACCCCATGGCCAGGCAGTCAGCCTCCGGTCCTGAGCGGGGTCTCAGGCAGCCTTGCCGGGTGAGGGAAGGCTTTTGTGGGCCTGGCCCTCCTGGGGTCCATCCTCAGTGAGCCCTAGGGCCGAGGCCAAGCTCCCACAGGCAGCTGACTGCTGACCGGCAAACCTGCTAGGCTTTCTTATCTCCTGCCTGTTCATTGTTCTGGTGTCCTTGAGAGCAGAGGAGAGGGACTGTTAGAGCCCTGTGTGAAAATAAAGGGAGGTGGAACAAAGAGCTGGGCAGGGCAGGCTGGCACTGCTCCTGCTGCAGGCACATCCTCCTCATCCCACTGCCAGAGGCTCAGGGGGAGCAGCAGGAGGATGCGAAAAAGCAGGCAGGGAGCTCAGGGTGAGGTGCAGGGCTATTGGAAAGCTGAGCATCTGGGAGAGAGATAATGCGAACTGTTTCCTCGGTGGCCTGTGCCTACCTCTGGCTGTAAATCACAAGTCAGTGCCATTCAGAAGGCCCCAGCACCTCGGCTGCGTGCTCCTGTGCAATGAAAGCTCATGTTTGGAGAGCTTGCTGAAAAAGGGGTGGAGGAGCGAGCACCAATTCCACTGGGAAAACTTCTTGTTTTCTCTGGCTAACGCATCCCCTTGCTAGCCCACCCCAGTGTCCCATCCCGGGTGTGTGGCAGCCAGCTGCCATGCTGTGCTGGGGATCGCAGATCTGCAGGCTCAGAGCGTGCCAACTGCGAACGCCTGGCCTGAGCACATGCACCAGCACCTCCCCATCAGCTCCCCGCAAATGGCAGAACTTCACCCCCCCTGACACTCCAGAGCAGCGACTAGCCAGAACTGTCCCTCTTAAATCTTAAATACAGTGGAAAAACTACCCCAGCAGAATACAAACTGAACTGGGTAAAGTAAAATTTACAGGGCAAATGTTGCTAAACTGAGCTGATAAGGAAAGATTGACTCAGGAGCACAAAAGAGACAAAGGCAGCAAGAGCAGTCTGCCCAATCAAACAGACTTGCCACTACGCAAAAATACCTCTATCTAATCTGCTTTAGAGCTGCATACAGCTGGAGCAGTCTAGCAGAAGAGGAGTCTGACTCCCCAATCCCACTGCCTTCATCTACCATTCTCTGAGCCTTTGGGAGTCATCCCCTTATCTCAGGTGTCTATAGGGGATCCCTCCTCGCCAGCGTGTTTCATCCACCACAAGAGCACTGACAACTGTGAAAATAAATCACTGAAAGGACAAATGCTAGGAGAGCTCCTAGGAAGAGCAGTAGGAGACAGAGGATTGTGCTTTGACTCCTTCCTAATTTTGGGTGTGAGAGATGCCCGGACATCAGGAAGGCACATCTGTATTTCCCAGAGCTGAGCAACAGCAAACAAAGGTGTAAAGTAACTGTCCAAGCCGGACTGCAGTCCTGTCATGCAACCGGACATAAGCGTCCTCCTCGTTCCCACTGCAGCCCTCCAAACACCCATAAATATGCCACACAGCAGAGCCAGATGATGTGCAGCCTGCTCCAGGCCTCTGCCCTCCTGGCTGCTTTCCTGCCTTTGTGCTCCACTTCCTGAGCAGCCCCAGCCTGCCCGGCTTGCACTGCTTCAGGGCCAGCCCAGCCTGGAGCGCAGCCCTGCAGGACAAGGCCACATTCATGCAAAACTCCTGCTGGCCTCGGTCAGCAGACTGCATTCACGTAAAGAGCAGGACTGCTGTCGCAAACAAAGCCCCTGGAAACACTGGGGTTTGCTAATCCATGCGCCGGCCAGAGCCTTACATCAAATGCTGTCAGCAGTGCTGGGAGTGCCCTGCCCAAAGCAGGCATTGTGCCGGGTTTTGCTTGGCTTGGGAATTCTGGAGCACTGGAGTGACACAGAAACTTCCCCAATACATGTTTTGATTATCCTTCAGGTGGTCTTTGCTTTCTTTTTGGGGGTGGATGTTTTTCTTTTTCAGGGCTCTTTGACTTGTATGCTTGAGCAGTCACCCTGCAATGGCTGCGGTTTATTAGGGATGAGGATGTGTTCCCCAGACAGCAGACAAGCGAGGCATGGATCCGACTGCGCTCTTCACACACAAAACTGCACTGAATCAGCACCTTGATAGCAAGTGCGATATATGGGAGATCTGACACAGATCCGAGTAGTGAATTCATGGAGAGGGCTGCTGTCTGCTGGCAGATGCCTCACAAGCAGGAAGAGAGGCTGGATCCTTCGATCCGTCTGCACACCCTGCCTTATTTATTTGTCTTTAGTTACAGGACTAGAGCTGTACTCCTCCCTCTTGTCTGTGAGCCAGTCCGTGCCTCACCTCTGCTGCACGCAGCCATTTCAGGGCTAAGAGCAGAGAGATGTTTATTAAACCTCCCTGCAAGTGACATCAGTTACTCACAATAAATTGTAGTAACTCAGTGAGATGACACTCCAGCAAAACAGCCATTTCAAACGTGTCTCCAGAAAAGATGCAAGCAGTTTGTTTGCTTGAAAGGAATCATTTAAAAAAAAAAAAAAAAGAAAAAAAAGAAAAAGAAAAAAAAGGTGGTGTGGAGGAAGAGAGACGCTACGTGCGCAGGACAGCACAGCCCCGGGAACTGAGGGCGGCCAGGCTCTGCAAAGCTGCATCCGCAGCGCAGATGCCGAGGGCTGCGGCCTAAGGGAGCTTTTATTAATTAACGCCCAGGCTGCTGCGGCTCCGCACGCCCCGGCGGAGGGCGTACGAGCAAATCTCCGCTCCGCTCCCTTCTCCCCTGGCATCGGCTTCAGACCTGCCGGGGGAAG